TTAGCTGGAGGCCTACTTTGGGGGGAATAGAGTTCAACCACATAGGGGAGGGAGACAATGAGTGGCTAGAAAGAGCTTTCGAGGAGGAGGAGGTGCACGATGCTGTATCGAGTTGTGCTAGTGATAAGGCCCCTGGGCCTGATGGTTTCTCCTTGGCTTTCTTCCAGCTCTGTTGGGACACTGTTAAGGGGGAGTTGATGGAAACCATCGAATACTTCCACGTGAATGGTGCTTTCGAGAGAAGCATCAATGCTTCTTTTATTACCATTGTGCCTAAGAAAGAAGGCGCATCTTGTATTAGAGACTATAGGCCTATCAGTCTAGTGGGGAGCATTTACAAGATTATTTCTAAAGTGCTTTCCAACAGACTAAAGAAGGTTCTTGACGTGTTCGTTTCGTCCTCCCAGAATGCGTTTGTGGAAGGTAGGCAGATCCTGGATGCTGCTCTTGTGGCAAATGAACTTGTAGACTCCAGAAGGAAAAATAGAGAATCCGGATTACTGTGCAAGTTGGACCTTGAGAAGGCTTTCGATCATGTCAATTGGGAGTTCCTGGACTTCATTATGAAACGGATGGGGTTTGGGGAAAGATGGAGGGGATGGATCAAGTTTTGCATTTCAACAGTCAGATTCTCTGTCCTGGTTAATGGTAGCCCGTGTGGTTTCTTTGGCAGCTCCAGGGGGCTCAGGCAAGGTGACCCCCTATCCCCCATGCTATTCATTTTAGTGATGGATGCTCTGAGTAAAATGATGGATCGTCCGGCGAGTGGAGGCTACTTGAGAGGTTTCTCAGCTCCGATCGGGGTGCTCAGTGCCCGAAGGGTCTCTCATTTGCTTTTTGCGGATGACACCCTAGTTTTCTGTGACGTCGATATGGATCAGTTGACCTGCCTGAAGCAAGTACTGCAGTGGTTTCAGATAATATCAGGACTCAAAATCAACCTCGGCAAGTGTGAGATTTTCCCGGTGGGTGAGGTTACTAACATTGATGCTTTGTTGCATGTTCTCGGATGCAAGATGGGCTCTCTCCCCACTACTTACCTGGGTCTACCGTTGGGTGCTTTGAAAATGGATACTACTGTTTGGAACCCAGTCATTGAAAGGGTTGAAAAACGATTAGCAGGCTGGCAGAAACGGTATTTGTCAAAAGGGGGTAAGGAAGTGCTTATTAAAAGCACTTTGTCAAGTATCCCTACCTATTACTTATCCCTGTTGCAAGCACCTGTGAGCATCACAGAAAAACTGGAGCGACTTCAAAGGAATTTTCTCTGGGATGCGGCAGATGGAACTAGAAAGTTTCATCTAGTGAATTGGCAGACAGTCACTTCCCCAAAGAAGTGGGGTGGACTTGGAGTAAAAGATCTCAGGGTATTCAACAGAGCTTTGCTGGGGAAGTGGCTGTGGAGATTCGGGGTAGAAGAGCATGCTCTATGGAGGGAGGTCATAGCAGAAAAGTATGATTCCACGGGAGGGGGTTGGAGGACCAAGGCAATCACAACACCGTTCGGGTGTGGCATGTGGAGGAACATCATGAAGAACTGGGAAGCTTTCTATGGCAACATCACTTACA